ATTTGGTTACGAAAAACCTACGACACCGTCCTTGATGAATTTCATCTTCATATCAAATAATGTTTAGAGGACAGGAAAGGGTAAAATAAATACACATAATAAGTCTATTATTCAGTGTAACATGTTTGATGTGCTGTCTAAATATACACATATATATATATATGTGTGTGTGTGTGTGTGTGTGTGTGTGAAAAGCACGAATGCAAAACGCAATAAAGGCCATTTTCCAAATTTCTGAGTTAACACTGCCAAGGGTTTTGCATTTCATCACCCTACCACACATCAAAATCCTTTTTTCATATTGTGATATTTTCCCTATTTTATTTTATTTTTATTTTTATTTTTTTTTTTGGCTTTCGAAAATCTGATTTATTGCAAAACGCGATAAGCGCCAAATGGGATTTAATGTAAAAACCGATAAGACGGATTTAGACATAAAGAATAATTAACATTAAACTTGAAAAAAAACAAAAGCAAAAAAAAATGGAAATATCAAATTTCAACCTCCTATTTTAAATAAAAATAAACGTATAATACCTTTTCAATAAACAAATAATTTACACTAAAAATAAACGTTTAAAATGTTCTTTGTGACGCAGTAATAAGGCTTCACGATTATAAAATGTGAATACATTAATAAACTAAATTCAATTAAAGACACTATAAGTTATAATTAAAACGATTAGTTAAAGTTGATATATGTTTGTAATAATTATTAACATGGTATTGCCATTTGAACAATATACGGTAGGTAATATTAACAATAATAATAATAATAATATTAACAACGACGCTGATAGGACCTTTATTAATTTTATGGGACTACACAATAGACAGAACAATCAAAACTAGTCGCCCAGACATTGTTATTAGAGACCACAAACAAAAAAGTGCCTCCTTATTGATATGGCAGTCCCTGCAGAGTGCAGTGTATCTTTGAAGATTTTCAAAAAGTTGTCAAAATACAAGGACCTTGAAATCGAAATCTCAAAAATGTGGCATATGGGAACTTCAACAATTACTTTTGTAGTTGGAACCCTCGGATTGATTGGAAAAGATTTCAATGGACTAACTGAATGGATTTACGGTAGGTTATGCCTTAAAGAAATAAAAAAAAATATATTGTCACAAGTTCAGCTCACGCCTTTATCTATGTAAAATATGTGCAATTTCTTTTTTTCAAAATTGCTCTGTGGAAATTGTCATGATGTATTTCTGACCTTAGGTCTGTGGCTGAGACACAGAAAGAAATGAGTACACACCAGAAATCAAATCAAATCAAATCAAATCAAATCAAATCAAACAATAATAATAATAATAACGATAATTTTGTTTATAGTGAATTCGAAAGTTAAATGCAGTATTTCCGCTTTATTGTTTTGTTTTTGACATCAATAATTTAATTTTGACTGTAAAGAGCTATAAAAAAAATTATAGATATACATTTAAATATTATGTTATAATTGGAATTGTGTTATAGTTTAAAAAAGTTTTAAAAAGTTTAAAACAGTTAATATTGTGTTATAGTTAATAATTTAAAAAATGATGGTTTATTTTTGGAAAAAACTGTCTAATATTCGCATTTTCTATAATTTGTATCATGTTTAAAATGTCAAAGTTTACACTGTGTTTAGATTTTGTTTTGAAAAAATGTTTTAAGGATGAATTGCTAACTTAAAAACCAAATCATATACGAGAGAAAATAATAAAATTAAACCATATTTTTACTACATTTATGTCATTTCAAGTCAGAGATTTTGCATACTACTACATTCGTGTAGTGTTAAATGCGATTACTTTTACGTGGGCACGATTTAATACTGTCAGTTCACCCAGGAAAATCAAGAAACGAAGGACAACAGAGCAGGTTCCCTTAAATAGGCCTTTTGTTTAACTCCACGTTTTTCGATTTCATAGTAAAAAATTCAGTTGAATTTACTTCCTAATATCATCTTGTATACAGCAGACACACTCAAAAACAAACGCACACACATATACACTCACGCACACATATATAAATAAATATAAATGTTAACACTGAAGTCAACACTCAGAGGTGACAGGTTGTTTCATGCTAACATGAAACAACGTGTCGCCTTTCAATGTTGACTTCAATGTTAACATTTATATTTACATACGCTCTAGCTCTGATATTGAGCACTTTATTTCATACATATAGCACATCTTAAAACTATATATATATATATATATATATATATATATATATATATATATATATATATGCATATAATTATAGATAACTAGACCTGTTTCGAAAACTCGAATTTTTGATTTGCTAATAATCAAATCAATCTCGAGGGAAAAGGTTTTAAAAAAGAAAGAGCTACAAACATGAACTTCTGCCGTCAAAAAATCGCACAGATACAGGTCTGAAGCCCAAAGAAAAAACCCGATACGTAGAGCAGACCTAGATACACCTAGTGAGCCAGACAAACCTACCTAGGTTTCACCTAAACGGATCGTCAGGGAAAGTAAGGCT